AGAGAGAGAGAGAGAGAGAGAGAGAGAGAGAGAGAGAGAGTAATAGGCAGGCAGGCACGTGATTTGGAAATTTGGAAGAAGCACTTTGGATCTTGAGCAAGTGGAAGCACAGCACCTCTCCGCTATTCATTATGGCAGCCCCTCTTTTTTTAGGCATCCATGAGAGCTTGAAAAAAGGTGCGGTTGCTTTACAGAGTCAGTTCATTAAAGTTAATGCAGCTTCTAAAGCACCCACCATTTTTTCCCCAGATTCTTGCAGAAACCTCAAAAAGCAGGGCTGTTTTAACAAAGAGCAGGAAGGTGTTGCACCTGCAAGAGGTCCAAAGCACTTATTCCAAATTATTCTGAAAGCGCAGACAGCCCTAATATCTTTCTCAATTTTCAGTTATTATCTAGTTTAGTTATATTAGTGAAAACTTCCGATTTTGGGATCACTTATTTAAAAAAAGCATGCAATACTGGAATTATAGATTACATGCGTAGTATAGTTATAAAATGAAAGCAACTGGCCGTAAGTAGAGGGAACATCTACCTATCCTTAACAAAAACCTCCTAACATTGACTTTAGTCTGTGTGCATCCTACATTTCAAAGGGACAGTAGAAATAGCATTTCTATAAATGTTTTCTGGTGCACTGCAACCACAGGAAAACCAACTTGCTCCCAGTTAAGCGTGCACAGGATGGCAGTCATGTTCCATAAACTTAACAGTAAAATTTTATTAGGGGCTTGTTTGTTTTGAATGTCTGTGTTTTATTATGAAGTTTTCAACTTCACAGAAACAGGCAAAAACATTATGATCAACTTGTGCATTTCAAAATGTATCATATGCCATTGTGGGTACCAAAGTATTCAGTTGGAAAAAGTGCATTTGTTTAATAAGGTAATTAAATCAACAGTAGCAGATGCAAAGGGTAACTAGGAAGAAAGAGGAAGTTTCATTGTTTTCTCCTTCTACCCAGTGTGATTTTGCTCATGAGTGCTAGGGAATAGGTTGAGATGACTGTGAAAGTATGTATTACTGCACCAAAACCTCCTTGGCACATGCATGCATTGCTCCATCTCCAACTGGGCAGTCCATGTGAATGAAAACATTGCCCACACACGCCCTATGGCTCAAATTAGTTTCTATCCTAGAATTACCTGCACTCTGGTCCTGCCAACCTTTGGGGAGGATAACTTCCAACCTGGCACAGTCAAATATGTTTCTGGGCTCTTAATAAAAATGTATGTACCCTTTTCCAAGCCAATGACACTTGTCTTTCATGAACTTCTTGGAGGTCTTCACGTGTACTAGTTTGCAGGGCTGCACACCGCTGCAGATTCACAATCAAAAAGGCGCTTTGGGATGTGTGGGTGTGCGGGTACTGTGACACCTATCTGCCACTCCTTAAACCAAGCATGTCTTTTTCTGGAACAGCACTGTGGCTGAAAAGTCATGAGGTCTCAGGACAAGATGCAGTTGCTTTAACAAGCTGTTAACAGGTGTGACATTCACACTATCAATGCTCAGAAGAACTTCATTTTGCCTTTGAATACAAAGGGCTTGCCAGACCTTTGAAATTATATTTGTTCCAAGTAAATTTTTATTTCATTTCCCATTTCCCACTGCCACTTTTTTTTAATCTTGGCTGTCAGTTATTTTATTTATTTTTTAATTTATTTATTTATTTTAGAAGACCTATACTGTAACAACATCCTTGGGCAGTACACAACACAGTAAAAACAACAGAAGCCCCCAAACCCATGGAATTAAAATCTATAAAAGCTGTATAAAAACTCATGGTGCCCCAGGGCAGCACTCTCCCACAGACACCATCTTGCTGGGCTCCAGCCTCATCCTACCCCAATGCTTGTACCCCTTACCCTGGAAGGCAAGGAGGGGGGGCTGATGGATCATATGTATTTTATTTTCATTGATCTTATGTATTTTATTTTCATTGTCAGTTGTGTTTTTAACTGTGATAGCTCCACCATAGTGAGAAGAGTAGTCATACAAATCAAATCAAATAGATAAATATTTCTATTCTTATTTTTGGTCTAGTCATTGTCGTCTTCTTCTTCTTCTTCTTCTTCTTCTTCGGTAGCAATTTAAAGAAAAATAAAAGTTCTCTCACCCACCCCAAGAGAACAAAATTAAGCTTGTGAATATCCCAGCTATCTTTAAGCACAATTAAAACAAACCTAAATGCAGCAGTGATAAAAATGTATCTGCTCCCAAAGTCCATCAAAAGAGCACTCTAGATGATTCTACAGAGGAACTGAGGTAGGGAATCTGGGGCCCTCCAGATATTGCTAAACTACAGCTCCCAGCATTCGTCACTAGTGGTCATGCTAACCAATGTTGCTGGGAGTTAGGGTTCATCAACATCTAAAGAGCCACTGGCTTTTCACCCTGAATTTCTTAGATGAGTGAATCCTACAATAGTGGAGCCATGCCAGAAATGACCCTCTTGAAGAAGCCAAGACAGAACCTGGAGCAGAGACTCATCTGCAGATATCAATGGGCTGCTGTGAGTGGGTGCCACCTATATACAATACTGAGTGACTTTTGCTCTTTGATCAAGTAAATTTAACTTTGGATGATCTGGGTGTCCCTGTCCATAGAACAAAGTAAACCCAGGTGTCAGAAATACACAGAAAACAAATAATGGAATTCAAGGAATTTTAAAAACATCCTGCTCCTCTCATATGAGTACTTTACAAACTGGCAAGCAGGAGAGTCCTCTTTTATGAAATGGCATTGACCGGTCAATTCTGCAAACTTTTGTAGCTTGGGCATCCTGCAAATCTCATTCTCTCTTTTTTTCCTCTACAGAAGTTACAGTTTTCTGGCTCTGCAGGCCAATTCTGCCACAAAGATTTCTTGCAGGTTGGAAAAAGCAAGCTTGAAGATCAGCATTTTCACCTATGGCTCATTGTGATGTGGATTAATGAGAGCCTCACAGAGGCTAAACAGGGAATTAAAACAAAATAGAACATGGAGGAAAGGGAGTGCTGCTGAATTTCTTAGAAACAAAGCAGTGGGCTGTGAAGTCAAAACTGTTAAAATTGTCTACAGCTCTGGGGACTGTTATACACACTTGGCCACAGATGGTCTCATTGAAGAACTCCTTGGAAGAGCCTGGGCATATGTGAATGCATGCCAGGGCAGGAGGGATAATGTGAATGGAAGGGAAAAGGTACAGGATGCATAAAGAGAAGAGGCATCATAAAAATGCATGTTCTGCCATTCATTTCTCTAGCCCTTGGCACTTTGTTTTGACCTTCATGTGCTGCCCAAGAGGTATGATGGACTTGCTAGTCTGGGATGAGAGGGTTTAAGCATTTAGCTTTACCTTTGACTGCACATTTCAGCAGAATGTTTGACCCTGTTCTCGCTAGGACTGTACCTCCAACAGAGACAGAGAGATTCTGAAGCTCAAAACTGGCAATGCTTTTTTCAGAAGACAAGATCACAGGAGCCTCTGCAAAGGAGAATAGACAGGGAGAGAAGCAGTGAGAAATGAGTCCCAGAATTCTGCCTTCTTGTCAGACCCATTGACAGACCCTCAAGATGGAGTTATGCAGTGTCAGAGAGAGGAATTCAGCTGGAGAGAGTTGCCCGTAGTCTATTTTTGCTTATTCTCACTGGCTGCATTTTTTCCCTCTCAAATTATGGTAACTACTAAACCTCAGAAAGGAATGTTTAGCGACCTTTGGTGAAAAATGTTCTATGCAAATCCCCTCACATTTCATTTAATGCGAAAATGAATGCTTAAAAACACTCTCCAAGAGTCACTTTCCCCCTTTTCCTTTTACTGATATTTATTCATTTATTTTATTTATTTATTAAGTTTCGATGCCGCCCATCTCACTTTATAAGTGACTCTAGGCAGCTTACAAATAAAAAAGCGATAAAAACAGTAAAAAAAAATCTTTACAAAAAATATACAGGGTTAAAAGACGGGGAACGCATCCTATTAATAATTTCTCTATTTTAGGCTAAGTATTTCACCCAAAATAAAATCACAAAACAAATTCATGTCATGGAACAGAGGCCAGGAGAGACTATGTCTTATTGAGAGATGATTCATGATCAATAAATAATTGCAAATAGCAGCACTAAGTATTACCTGCGTAGAACAGTGCCGAACTCTCCATATCTGAAAAAAACTCATTGTCTACTGTGCAACGATACACCCCCATTTCTTTCCCAGTAGGATTCAAAATTTGGACTCTGCCATTTGTTTCCAAAATCACTCTGCAAAATGTTTAAGAATAAGATTTAATAAAGAGAAGTAAATATTGCTTCATGAGAGCCATAATTAATAGTCCATTCAGTCTCCACGCCACTATCACAATTGTCCTGGATCATCAGGAAAAATGTACAAGCCAACACCTGCACTTTGTTATACAGCTTGCTCCTCAAAAAGGTATACTCATTGTATTCATTAAGGAAGAGTGTGCATGAGAATCAGTATACTGGGGGGAAATGTGCAGATGTGCACACAAAGCATGATTCCGCATGTCTTGCTTGTGGCTTTGATGTTTGTGTCCTCTGGCCTTACTGCAAGTTTTAAATATTCAGTGTGCCACCTTGTCAGTCCTTTCAGAAGACAGCTCTGCACCAGAAAACCCTAAATCTGCCTAAATCTCATCTGTCTTTTGCTTTTTTATTTTAGCAGAGATTATCTGCTCTCTTGGTTTTAAATTGGTTAATTCAATGTGTACATGTAGTCTAACCTAGCTGAAGGGTTTAGGCTTCTGCACAATTTCAGGATCAGTATCCTATTGCTACTCTTTTGAGTTAAAAAGGGAAAGTCAACTTTCACTTCTGGTGGCTATGTGGACTTTTCTATGTTCTGTTGTTGTTTTAGCAAGAATGCTGAAATGGGTTGACAGTGGCTTCTTTGAAGATGCTTTTCTGATTTCCCAATCCTCACTATACCACTGGAATTTCCTGGTGATTCTCCCATCTAAGTACTAACCAAGCTTGGCCATGCTTAACCTTTTGAAATCAGCCAATGTCAGCTAGATGCTCCCATATGTAAACAAAGGATTCACAGCAGTAAGTGCTAAATATACAATATGTCAAATTAATCAGTCCAACAACAATTGGGAATAAGCTTCCAAATGGGACACAGAGATATTTGCTTCTCAGATTGATGTGGTTTATTTGGCATGTTCATCAGTGCTCAAGTGTAAAGATAAGCCCCTAGCATTTTCATGTACCTTCTTAAATATACCCTTATGCCTTTTAAACCAGCCAGAATATACTACATGCCACATATTTGCAGATCAGCAATTACTAGAAACATCTGTGAATGCTACAATAAAATCAGGTTGACCTGTTTAATATTCAGTGTCCAAAATATTGGTCTTTGATTTATAAGTGGCCTATGGATGGTGCTCAGTTGAAATGTGGATTTAGTGGGAGGACTAAAAGAAAGCCAGAAAGAGAAAAGGGAAAGAGATCTTCATAATTGGAGGAGTAAAGGAAAGATCATTATGTCAGTAACTTAGCATTCTGAACAAGAAAGAAATGGATCCAAGACATCATATGGAGTTTAAAATGGGTCCTCAAATTGTCTAAAAGACCTTGAAGCCTAAAGGCAAAATGCTAAGTCTACAATTTAAGAAGGAGAATTTTCACAAAGATACTGTTATCTGTCTATAACACAATGATATATTATGAGATATAACAAAAATCATTCAGGTGAATGCAGAATTGCTGAAATATTTAATTTTACTTACTTCTCAAAAGGCTTTAAAGGTATTCCATCTTTGGTCCAGGTATATTTAAGATTGCTAACTCCAGCAGTTTCACAAAGCAAATTTATTGTGCTGACATTCTTGGTTAAAAAATAGGTACCCCCAATTTGCAGAGTTACAGTTTCATTTGAACAAACCTTTGGCCCTTCCTTTGGCCTGACAATAATTGCACCTTTTGAGTTACTCAGTACCGGGTTGCCTATAGTTTTTGTGCTGAGATTATCAGTCATTTTTTGGGATTTGTCGAGTTTCCTGGCAGGGAACTTCTCATTTTCTGACTCCTTTTGGTTTTTAGGAGTGGACTGTGATGGTTTCAGCAACTCAGCAATCAACTGATATACAAACTGGGAAGCCAAATCATTGTTAATTTCTCCAGCTTCAATAAGATGGCTCAAATTTTTTATCAGCTCTTCAAAATGGATTGTATCCATACTGTAAGCATTAGGTAAAACAACTGCTTTGAGTGGCTTAGTTGTGAATTCATGAGAGCTGTATCCTTCTGCCGAAGTTCTCCTCTGAGTTTTAAGATGTTCTAAGAAGGGCTGGTCATTCACTTGTCCATCACGCAGATACTGTTGATTTTTCTGGTTCCACAACTGCCACATCTGGCTTATTTGGTGCCATTTTGCTCCAAAGCTGTTGGCCTCATTGTGCTCTGTATTGCCACTCTCACCTGTGTCTTTCCTGCTAGTGGTAGGTTCTAGTAGCCTGTTGCTAGTGCCAATGAGTTTAAGAACAAAGATCTCCTGGGCAGATCCTGCAACACACTTATACACTCCAATATCTGAAGCTTCAAGACTATTGATCTTGAGAGATCCTGATTTGGTGACACCAAGCCGTTTAGAAATCTGGAGTGGCTGTCCATCTTTCTCCCACTGGATAAGTGTCTTCTGGAATCGCCGAACAGGGCACTTGATGATAACAGATGTTTTGGGAAGTAGATAAGCTCGGCTCCCAACAGTAAAATTAATGCGTTTCTCTTGCCTTGTCTGAATGTAGACTTTGTGGATACCAAGTATCTGTGGCTTGTCAAAAAGTGTGGGCTTCTTTTCTTCTTTTATATCTGAAATTGCAAAGGTATGCTGAGAACAGATAATTGCTTTTCATTTTCACTGTACCATATATTCTTCTTTAAATGCTGGAAACTCAGTTTCCCTAGAAGTGTTTCAGATCAGTATTTATCTGGATGGAATCTAGAGAGGTGAATTTGGGAAACTAATATTCTAATCTCAAAATTGTTATTGGGAAGGTCAACCAGACTTTGAAGCAAGCAATGCATCAGTGAGGCAGTAACTTAGAAGGATAGCTAGAAAGAATCCCAGTATGCTCACTTTCTACAGGCAAAGAGAAAGGGAGGGTTACACACAAGAACATGATGAAACATGCATTCCCTCAACCTGCATTCTGAAATGAGTCTAATATTTTCACTACAGCACTGCAGCACCTTTTTAAAAATAGCTGTTTATCTTTGTGAAAATAAGCATACCATGAACAAGTGTTCTAGACCAACCATACTTTTTTACATATATGGGCAGAGACCACTCAGTTGTGAGCTGCACCCTACAACCAGAGATTGAACCATCCAATGATAGCTGAAACATGATTCTGCTCATTGTGTATCTTGGCGGTAGGGCAATGTTTAATATAAACCATCTAGAAACTGATCTTAGATGACAGTTTCTTTAGGCCTCCTTCCCTTTTCAAAACATGTTTCTGAACTATTAGAATCAACATCCTTTTTTTGTTTCTTTGGACTATGTTCCTTCATAACATATATTACAACTACAGCAGAACTTGACATTTCTTTAACATCACTCTCCACCAAACAATCTGCTGACTGGACACACTGCCGTACAAATATACATAATTAAATAAATTCAGATATATATGCAGCTCAAAAATATTTTATGAAATACTGGGCCAAGGACATTCCTTTAAGTCCATGGAGCTTCATTTGAAGTATTTTTTCTACCTCAGGATCTTGGCATGTTAACCGGGCAATAAAGTCCCCAAAAGAAGTTTGGTATTATGAACAAATCAATAATTATTTCAACTCCTTTTGTTGGATGAATTGTTTTTAATACAATGTTGAGGAATGAAGCTAAGCACCCAGCAAAAGTCATTAAAACCAAATAAATGCTTCCATTGGGACTCTGTTTGCTGCCAAACTAATATCGCAACATATTCTTAGTGTCAGTGTTCAGATTTTCAAACAATTGATAGCAAACAGTTACTCTGAGTTTTAAACCAGATCTCCTGCCTGATAAATAGCTCAGAGGAAATTCTGTCTTACCATTTAGATATTACAAATTGCCATATAGTCAAACCCTATTCAAAATCTATACTCACACACACACACACACGGCTTTCCCAGCCAAACAGACAGCTTCTACATTACAATCCACACTGAGGCCCACATGGAGAACAGATATGCTTCTCATTTTCATATGCAGAGATTTAAAATATAAAGGGTGCATGAATAATACATGTGGGGTGAGAGATAAGCCAAGAGTCAGCAGTTCTCAGGGCAGAGATGTCAGTTATATCAACAACCACTAAGCTTCAAGGTCATGAAGCACAGGGCCAAGTGTGTTGAAAGGTTGGCAAGGTGGGAAGAAGCAATGGCTTTAAACAAACAGGGTTACCAGAAGGAACTGCATCCTCATACTGAGAGAAGGCAATCAACCGTACAATGTAGTTTCATTCTAGTTTGCAATAAAAATTCTTCTCTAGTTGTACTTTGTCATGTATCTGACAGACTTCAGCCAAGTACAAGCCTAGTAGCTAAGTTAAGCTACATGAAGCCAGGGAACTGAAATTTACGGTTGATTCTGATATGTATCTTACAGGTACTAGACTCAGTCAAAAACGTAAGAAAAATCTTGTTGTATCAAACCAGCTGTTCCCAACAATAGCCTCCATGGAGGTTATGAAGGTATTTCAGAAGAATAACCTGTCTTCCCACTTGAGCAAAAGCTTTGTTTGTATTTCTTTCTGTGCCCACCTTTTCATTATGGCTTCAGATGACTCTAGTCCTGCTGAGACAATTATCTTGTACCTCTCACCAGCTAAGTTCACTGGAGGCTATCCAAGGTCCTGATTGATCCTCAAGAGAATCCACAGTAATTATATTAGTATGAACTGACCTGGTCTAACATGATTTGTCATACTTTGATTTACTTCATCAGCTTTTAATTGATGTACTAGACTTATTTTAATTTCAATCTGCCAACAGCCTATTTTTCTACTGGTTTCAAAGTAGGGATGAAAACATTTCTTCTGGTTGGCTAAATTAATTATTATGGGATTTACATGGTTGGCTGCCAAATGCCGATTGCTATTGCATCTCTGCAGTCAAATACTGTGACATATTGACTCTGATTGCAATATCTTTATTTAATCTGATCCTAGAGCACACTTTATATTCATGCCTTCAGAATAGCAGGACTCTTTAGATGAGAAAGCAATGAGTGGAATATTAAATACCCATCAGAATTGTTAGAGATCTTGGCAAGGCACACATAGAGAAGATGGTAAGGCAGGGACGAAGAACAGAACAGAAAGAGCTCATGTATACTAACAAGCATAATAGAAGAAGTGACTCTGAAGGGTTAAAGTCAAAGGAAAAGCAAAGCAAGTAGCAGAAACAATGTTGACCAGGTTTCACATACACAGGACATTCTAGCCCTTCTCTTGACCAACTGACATGTGTTGTGCAAAACTAAAAGTTATCTTACACTGTAAATCTAATGCAGTAATAACTGCCAAGTTGAAATATCCCTCTACTTCCTCAATCATGGAATCTTCAAATGCGCCATTTTCCCCAATATAGCCCAAACTGAGAAAGTGAACAAGCGTTTTTTTCATCTGATTTTATTGAGGAAGATAGAGAACCAACACCTGCCTCTGAACTATAATTTTTGGGGCAGAAGAGTTGGACAAAATAAAAGAGGTGAAATGTATATCTTGAAATAAAAAAGTCAGAATGGAAGAATCCACAAATCAAGACAGTCTCCATCCAAGAATTCTTTTCAAAGAAAGGGAAAAAAACCCCTAAGATGTGAAATTGCTGATCTAAAAAAAACCATGCAATTTGTCACTTGAGTTAGCTTTTCATACCACAGGATTAGAATGCAGCTAAAAAGTGCCAGTGTTTAAAGGCAATCCAGAGGGAATCTGGGCAATTACAGGGGGGTTAGCTTAATGTCTGTTTCAAATACATTTTGCTAAAAGCACTACAAAGATGAGAAATGATTACACATGCAGATGAACAATAGTTGCTGTGGAAAAATCAACACCAGTTCCACAAAGAAAAGTCTTCAAGGGTTTCAAATAACTGCAGGGAGAGGTGTTCTGGAGGAGACTATGTACTTAGGACTCACCCATTTCTCTTTTCACAAATTAAGGGCACTTTGTGATCATGGGACAATAGGATATAACCATGGATTCTTAATGGGAGGGTCTGGCATGGGGGTTACATCTTGGGATAAATTGAATGTTTTTAAATCTCGGGTGCCCTGGGACTTTTCCCCCTCGCAGGCATTCGTGAAACAGCATCACTTACTTTTGCAGGCATTCCTGTGGCAAGGCCTTACAAGTGGGGGCGCTGGGAAGCCGCTACACAGGGATCCATTTAATGCCAGATGCTGGCCTCTGGCAGTAAGCTTTTGGCAGGTGGCTTTCCTCCTTTGCATGCCAACCCCACAGCTTACAGAGCACTGCAAAAGGAAGAATGTAATCAAAGTGTGCCAACTTTAAATAAAAATGAGGTACACGCCACCTCATTCTTAAAGGGTTACTCTTTCATTGGATTGCCTCAAAGAGCACTGGATTAGGAATGAGAGGGAAGGGAGAAGAGAAAGAGAACAAGAAAGAGAATCCAGGTATAAATAAATTATTTAAAAGTACTCTTATTTTAAGCTACACACCCTAGACCATTGTCCCACCACCAGCTGAGGTGGGCAGTCTATATTTGCGCAGGCTCTGGAGCTTGGCAGTCTAGGTTCAGGGCACTTCTCATTACTGAGTTTCAGAACACTTCCATCCATCAACAACTGCTGGCAGGTCACCTTGCGATTCTGGGTGCCTCCACCACAAGTCTGGGAGCACTAAGAACAAGAAAGGGAGCCATAAAAATCACAGGAATTGATATGCTTTTCTTTATATGGATGATACTGCCTGTAGCTCACTCCTGGAGCATTACCAATATATATTTTTTTTTAGGCCAGAGTTATATTTGAACCAAGTAGTGTCTGATTTATATTGTTCTTCAGAGCACAGGTAGAGAATGACATGAGTCAAGTCATTTCAACATACTTTTAAAAAGATCTTATAGAAATATTGTCTCAGCAGCACCTGACTTACATTGTGTGGGCCCAGAGGTCAGACCTGGTTAATACTTGGATGGAAGCATGAAATCCTAGGCTGCAGGCTAAACTGAGAAGTCCAACATCCTGGAAAATGCAATGGTAAACCACTTCCATACGCCTGTCACTAAAACTACATGGACAATCTATGAAGTCACCAGGAGCCTAGCCTGGGAAATTGAAAAAAAAAAAACATTATTTCTGCCAAGAAAGCTATTTAGATGAGACCATGGAGTCACTAGGAGTTGAGCTCAACTCGAGGGAGCCATTTACAGAAATGCTATGTCGGACAGAAGGGTTCAGGCCTGATAGGTTACACATGCAGAAAACAATTCATTCATCTATGCCAGTGTTGT